CACGGAGCGCAACGAGTGCTCCATGCGTGCGGAGAAGTAGGAGTGCACCTGGGCACAGTGGGGGTGCCGGATGCCCAGCATGGTCCGGCACTCAGCGTAGGCCGCCTCCAGCTGGCGCGGCGTGTACACCGTGATGACCTTGATGGCAAAGTGCTGGCGTGTGCTTTCTTGGCGAGCGTGGGGGGGGGGGGGGAGGGGGGAAGGAGTGGGCGCCGGCCGACAACCGTCGTGAAGGAGGCAGGGGCCATGCGGCACCCGGCCGGCGCCCCTTCAAGTCAAGGCAACGGACCTCCTCCCTTCCTTCAGAGGGCCCCGCCCACGCCATGTGCCTCCGCCCACCTAGGTACACGCGGCCGTAGTGCCCCACGCCCAGCAGGCGCAGCAGGCAGTAGCCCTGCGCCTTGGCCACGGTCTGCTCCGGCAGGCGAGCCAGGGCGCCCTCCCGGGCGTTGCCTGCATGGGTGGAGGTGGAGTGTAAGGGGGGAGGGGGGGTGTTAGGGATTGGAAGAAAGTATTACCCTGGCAGGACGCAGTCCCCCGCACAGTGCAGCTGTCCGCTTGCGCGGCAGGACCAAGGGACGCCAAAGCCCGCCCGATCCCACAGCCACCCCAGACTCTCACGTCTGCGCACGAACACAATCGCTCCCAAGACTGCCAGGCCAAAACCCAGGGGTCCACCTCTGGCCGCAAAGAGGAACGACCACCGGCCCCACGCCCTTTCCTGTGGGGTTTGTGATGGAGGGCAATGCGTTGGGACTGCGGAGGCAGGCTCTGGAGGAATCCAGGCGTGCATGTGCATGGCAAGGGGCCAGACATGCGCGGCACATGCGTGCGCGCCCTTCCAAAGCAGCGGGGAGCGCGCATGCATGCATGCTTGTTCCTCTTCACCAGGAGACGGTGAGCTCTTCACCTCTTTTCCCCCAAACAGGAAAGCGCGGCACCTTGGACAGCCCCAGCAGCGCCGAGTCGGTGAGCTCGTGGGTGACATTTCCGGTGCAGGACAGCGTGCAATTCAGCATGCGCCACACGGAGCCCATGGGGAAGTTGATCCAGCCAGAGTCCACCACCTGGGTCCTCCTCGCGTCGATCTGCACCTGGGGGGGGGCGTCCAGGGACGATTTGGCCAGGCCCATCAGGTTCATGTAGTGGATGGTGCTGGAAAGGGAGCGCAGGCCTGAGGACTGCTCCTGCTCGACGCAAAACGCGTCGCTGATCTGCGGCACGGAGGGAGGGGAGGGTTAACTGGGGCGCTGGGAAGAGGAGGGGGGGCAAGCGGCCGGGTGAATGATCCTGCATGCTACCAGGCCAGCACCACCATGAGGCTCCCAGGCGCGGCGCGCGGGCAGGCTCGCTCGCCCAGCACGGGTCGCAGTTTCCCCACCCCTTCCCATCTCGCACCTCCATGTCCTCCATCATGGCCTTGCCGCCCTGGTAGGTCTTTGCAAAGCAGATGGACAAGTCCACCCTGGTGGGGGCCGGCTCGGGGAGTGGATTGAGGCGGCACGAGTGGCCACATGCCAAAGGGGATCAGGCGATGCAAACCCTGAAGCGCCACTTGGAGCATGAAAAGCTTCGTTATCCAGGAAGGCTTGGTGAACCATGATGCCCCTCCCCTCCTGACGGTTTCTCCCAGACGGCTGCTCCCTGACTCCATCACCCAATAGAGCCACCATTTCTGCACAACTCACGGAGCTATGCAGTCATCCGCCCAAAAGTTGCGCTGGTGAAGGAATCCGTTGTTGAGCACGTGGACCCTGTCATGCAGATAGTTTGCCTGCACATGGTTTGGGTGATTCTCATGAGGTGGTTGCTGTGTGTGTCGTAGGATGAGGAGCCACAGACGGGTGGGAATCCAGTCTCACGAGCCTGGGCTACTGATGTTCATCTGATGCTGAACAAGCAGTACGGATGCACATGCCGCAAAGTAAAGACAGGTGTCACTGCTGCTCTGCCTGAACAGCGTCGGATAGGGGGTTGTGGCCACATTGCAGGAAAGCTCTGTTGCTCACATCGAGGTAGACGGGATTGGGTCCTTTCCCCTCCAGCAGCACGTCCCGCCCATCAATCCAGATGCTATCCTTCGGGAAATCTTCCTCGGTCAGGACGTAACCCCCGGGCCGATCGAGGAGTACGACATGGGTAATCGAGGTGTCGTTAAGTGCCTCTCTCATGGCCCGCACGGAAGCCACTTCGACCTGGCGGACGGCGATGGTGGGGGGTGATCAGGCGTTTTCACAGCATGTTCACAGCATGTCGTCCCTGAAGAATTCAGCCACAAGCTACCAAACCGGAACAAATGCCCAATTTTGAATCTTTCAGCGCCCTAGGTTTCCCCTCGGACGGCGAACAACGTTATCTCCGAGGCATCATCACTCCGGACAAACCCCCGGAAGCTCACCTTGCCCGCCCGTACAGTTCCTAGCCAGAACAGAAACACGGCGCAGAGTGTTTGCAAACGACTTCCGAGGACTGCATGGCGCCTCCACTGCGCCCAGAGCACGCTGAATCCTGATGTCATGGGTGATGGCGAGCCGTAGTAGGGGCTGCTCCCGGGGCCGGTCGCAGCAGGATGACTCACGCTCATGTTTCCTGCATGCCGCTCACGGCGCCGACATCCATGATGGCACCCCGATGGGCTCCAGAGAGGCAGGGAGGGATGGGCATGGCCATCAGGCACACGCCAGTGCCGCAGCGACTCGGGTTCGTGACCACGTGAGCAATGAATGACTTGGGTTGATTGAGCTCCCACTCGTCCATATCAGCAACATCGCAAACGGACAGGGACGCGGATCAACGCACATCACCCGACACCGGCGTTTCTTTCCAGCAAGGCATTTCGAATCGGAGCTGGCGGATCCGTCCAGGCCAGATAATTATGCTGCTGAATCGTCCCCTGTCATGCGTGGATTACGCCAGGTGGAACCGTGCCGGTGTCATATTCCTTCCCACCGACCCGAGGAGACAGGGGGCTTCACACCACCAAACCAGAATCCCCTTCCTCCTCGCTCTGTTGTGCCCCTCCCTGTGCTCGAGCCAGATGCCCTCCAACTCGAGCTGTACATGCCATGCAGGCGGGGCAACACAGGCAGGGATGGGGAGACGGATGGGGTATGCTGCCAAGTGGGTCCTGGTTCGATGCGCGGGGTCAGGGTGGGCGAGGCAAGCCGGGCACCCCCCCTTATCAATCAGGGCCAAAGATGTCACGGCAGCCCTCAAACGTGCCGGCCTCCCGTGCCTCCCAGTAGCCGCCCTTGTATCTGACAGGGCGGGGCGAGTGAGTCGGTGTTGGTTCGTGGCTGTGCAAGCAGGTAGCCTGACCGAGCACAGGCATGGGTGCCTGACCGCCTTGCGGCTGCAAAGCACCGTTCGAGCGGATGACCAACCCCTGTCATATCCGTTCCATACCTGTACGCCGGCTCCTCCCCCGGCTTGGCAGACGGGACGTGCTCAAACCAGCGCGGCCGGATGGGGTCCCCGCGCTCGGCCGCCTTGCGCGCCGCCCGCTGCTTGTGCTCCAGCCGCTGCTTCTCCGCGTTTGCCTGCGGGCGAGTGAGCACCGGCGTGTGACTATGCGCGCGCTCCAAGAGCGGATGAGCGCATGCCCAGCAGGGGCGAGGAGGGCGCACAAGTTTTCAGACTCTTTCCCACCCCGCCGACGATGCCCAGTTCCAGGGTGAGCGCAACCGAGTATCGGGACGCCCTTCCCCCGCACAGCCACCTACTCATGCACTCACCCCTCCAGAGACAGCTATTCCCCCTCTCCACCCCTCGCCGCAGTCTCACCTCGTCATACTCGCCCAGCTCCAGGCAGTGTTGGTCGGGCCTGCGACGGCAGTCGGTGGGAGCCGCCAGCCCCTCTGTCCCCGGCACCACCTCGTTCAGCAGGATGGAGAAGGCAGTGAGGTTGTACCGCGTCGGCTCCTTGGCAGGCGGGTTCTTGCGCCACAGCAGGACCTGCGCATCGGTGGGAGGGCAGGTCTGTGGAGCACATGGGAACGCTGGGGTCCCGACCATTGTCAGGGCGTACGCCAGTCTGCCAGAGCACGACATCGAAATCCGCGCTCAGCCCTCCGCACGCTCAGTCTGTGCACAGGCGCATCCTCCTCCCTGCACCCTACAGACCCCGCAGCCATTCAGAGTTCCCCCCCCCCCTCTCTTTCAGCACCATTCCCATGCAGACCTCCCCCCTTCCCACCCAGCCCCCACCTGTGAACCGTCCTCCAGATCGGCGTGCAGGGATGAGTCCCAGTGGCCGTGCAGGATGGGGCGGTCCAGGCGCTCGTCCCCCCTCTCCAGCACCCCCCGGACCTGTGAATCGCAGGAGGAAAGGGTGGCATGGCAGGCACGGGGTGCAGCAGCTCGGGGTGCACGCAGCGGCGCTGCAGCGCGTCTCGCAGAGGCGGGTGGGGTCCGAGATGCGGTGCCCAGGCCACCCGGCGGCCCACATCCCGAGGAGTGGCCTGGGGGCCCCTCGTCAAGCGGAGCGGGCGGGC